CATAGCTCACTGCCTTCTAAGGTATACATAAACAGGAAGCTACAATCAGAAGCAGAATAGCATCTCAAACCCAGGTATCCAGAATGGTATCAGCTACTACACCAAACACCTGCCCCGCATCATCATCATTCTTACAAATCAGATTACCTTGAAAGCCTCCGGTTACTGCTTGAATCCTGAGCTTATTAAAAATGGAATGAAAAAAATATTCCTCCTCTGACTTCCAAAACAGCTAGAATCTATGGCTGTGCAAATTTTTCACTTCTTACCTCCAGAAGCTTCCTTCATGTATGTCATGGTACAAATGGAGCTTCCATGACCTACTTCATGTGGTCATTTTTAGCTATTATTCCTGGCACTATTACTTATGGTATGTAGGTAGACAGGAATAAAAACTACCATGGACTGGTATTTCTGCAAAGGTAGGTACGGATTTTCATTTCAGAAGCCTTATTTACAAAGTTAAACAATTTAGTAGGCACTGATAACCATTTCAAGTCCTTAAACCATTTCAAGGCATTATAGGATTTTTGTTCTAGAAATAATGGCTTAGACTACAGAACTGAAAGAATGTATATAGGTTGTAAGAACCTGTAGTAGGAGATATTGGTTGAAAAGAAATCAGAGCTTGAAATCAACAGCACTTTAAGGATTGGGCAGTGTGCTGGGTGTTTTAATTGCTCTGTGCCATTTTCGAGCTAAGGAAACTGAAAATAGAGAAATATCTAAAGCTGTAACTTCTATGACATTGCCAGGCTTTGAGGTCTTTTGTGTCTGTTTCAGAAGCCTTTGCTTTATGATACTATACAAACTGAAGTTTTCACTACTGATAAAAATGTTGCTTATATTATTACCACCATATGCCTTTCACGTGCACTTCTATTTGCTTACATTCATCTGTCTTCTGTTGTGAAAACAGCCTGCAATCAGAACTTAGTGTCACAATTATCACTGCCTTTTCTGTGAACTCAGTTACAGCTATCTAGCATATTATCTAGCTCCAAAAAAATTATAGTTCTGAAACATTGTATTATTTCTTTCTAAAGTAAATCGGCTTGCTTTCCTCTTATTATGTTATACAGGTGCTGCAGAGCAGTGCCTCATGCTCTAACTGTTACCAGGAGTAAGATATATATTCTATATCCCTATCAAAATGTAACTCAGACTCTACTGAGTTTGGTGGTGCTATTTGTTGTAGAGGGGTGGACAGGAGATATAATATTGTACTACTGACTTTTAAACAGCTACTATTTCCATCTTCTTTTCATTTTACATTGAAAAGGTCTTTTAGAAAATTCTAGGTTTACTGTCCTTTAATGACCATATTAATCCCAATTAAGAAAGATATGGTAGCAGTCAAACTAAAATCAATAAGGGCTTCAAATTACAAATTGTTGTGGCAATTCTTTTTTTTTTTTTTTTTTTTTTATTGTTGCTTACACTGTATTATGTAGTACAGTTTTATAGGCGCTGGGGATTCCCCCCACCCCTCCCCCCATGGTGGATTCCTCCACCTTGCTGCATAACCATAGTTCAAGTTCAGTTGAGATTCATTGCTTGCAAACACATGCCTAGCATAAAGTTCAGCGTCTTATTGTCCAGATAAGTCCAGTGGCCTCTTGGGGAGACCTTCTATGGTCTGAAGATAGGTCTAACAGAGTAAAGATCCGGTCAGTTAAAAAGCCCCAACAAGGCCTCAGTATCAATATACAACATTATGGAATTAATTGACATTGTATTGGGTAAACAATATGTTAAAAATAATGCAAGTTCCATTCTTCGAAACATCTGGGTTGAGACAGCATCAATGACACGTTCAAAAAATAACAAACAACCAAACAATAAATTACAGGTTAAATCAAGGCAAACATGTGGTATCTAATCTTTTGGGATTCGCTCATTTCCCTTAGCATTATAGTTTCCAGTTGTGCCCATTTAGCCACAAAGAACTGCATTTTGTTTTTTTTAATAGCTGAGTAGTATTCCATGGAGTAGATGAACCAAAGCTTTCTTATCCAATCTTCTATTGATGGGCATTTCGGTTGCTTCCATGTTTTTGCAATTACTGATTGTGCTGCAATGAACATAGGGATGCATGTTGGTTTGTCGTAAAACAGGTGTTTTGGATATATTCCTAGGAGTGCTATTGCTGGGTCATATGGCATGCAGATTCCGAGTTGTTTGAGTGTTCTCCAGACTGATTTCCATAAAGGCTGTACCAATTTGCAGCTCCACCAGCAGTGGAGTAGGGTTCCCTTTTCCCCGCATCCTCGCCAGCAAGCGTCGTGGGTGTTCTTGATTATGTGGGCCAATCTTACTGGTGTTAGGTGGTACCTCATCGATGTTTTAATTTGGATTTCCCTTATTGCTAGGGAGCTGGAACATTTTTTCATATGTTTGTTTGCCATTTGGACTTGTTCCTTTGTGAAATGTTTGCCCATTTCCCTTGCCCATTTCTTGAGTGGCTTGTTTGTTTTGGTTTTTTGGTTGTTTTGAAGTTCTTTGTATATCCTGGAAATTAGCCCCCTATCGCCTATATCGTGTGCAAAGATCTTCTCCCACTCTGTGGGTTGCTTTTTTACTTTGTTGATTGTTTCCCTTGCTGTACAGAAGCTTCTTAGTTTGATGAGGTCCCATTTGTTTATTCTGTTCTCAACTGCTGTTGCTTTTGGTGTCCTTCTTAGAAAATCGGAACCTACTCCTAGGTCTTGCAGTGTATTTCCTACATTTTCTTGCAAGAGTTTGAAGGTTTCTGGATGTAGGTTTAGGTCTTTTATCCATGTAGATTGGATCTTAGTGTATGGTGATAGATGTGGGTCTATCCTTTTGTTTCTACAGGCTATCAGCCAGTTGTCCCAACAACATTTACTAAAGAGGCCTTCCCACTTGCTTGAGCTATCATTGGTCTTTTTGTCAAAGATTAATTGGCTGTATTTGTGTGGGTTCCCTTTTGGTGCTTCTATTCTATTCCATTGATCTTCCTTTCTGTCTTTGTGCCAGTACCAGGCTGTTTTGATAACCACTGCTCTATAGTATGTCCAGAGGTCCGGGATTGTGATTCCCCCTGCTAACCTCTTATTTTTCAGGATGGTTCTAGCTATTCATGGTTTTTTGTGTTTCCAGATGAACTTTTGAATCATTGTATCCAGTTCCGTGAAGAATGTTTTGGGCAATTTGATTGGAATTGCGTTGAAAATGTATATTGCTTGTGGTAGTATAGACATTTTAATGATATTGATTTTGCCTATCCAGGAGCACGGGATGTTATTCCATCTTTTGAGGTCTTGTTCAATTTCCTTTTTAAATAGTTTGTAGTTTTCTTTGAATAGGTCTCCTACGCTTTTGGTTAGATTGATTCCCAAATACTTCATACTTCTCTCTGCTATTTTGAATGGTATCCTGTTGGTTAGATCTTCTTCCATCTTGGTGTTATTTGCGTACACTATGGCTGTTGATTTTCGTTTGTTAATTTTGTACCCTGCCACTCTGCCAAACTCTCGTATAAGTTCTAGCAGTTTCTGTATTGAGTCTCCTGGTTTTTCTATGTATAGGATTATGTCATCTGCATATAGTGAAAGCTTGACTTCTTCGTTTCCTATACGTATGCCTTTGATTTCTTTTTCTTGTCTTATGGCCTCTGCAAGTACCTCTAGGACTATGTTGAATAGCAGCGGTGATAGCGGGCACCCTTGTCTTGTTCCAGATCTCAGTGGGAAGGGTTCTAGCTTTTCTCCATTCAGTATGATACTGGCGTTGGGTTTTTCATAAATTGCTTTAATTATGTTGTGGATTTTCCCATCTATGCCTACTTTGGCTAGAGTTTTTAGCATGAAGAGGTGTTGGATTTTGTCGAAAGCTTTTTCTGCATCTATTGAAACTATTATGTGGTTCTTGTTTTGCAGTTTTTGGATATGGTTTATAACATTTATGGATTTCCGAATGTTGAACCATCCCTGCATTCCAGGGATGAATCCTACTTGATTGTTGTGGCAATTCTTGTAAAATGACTTCTCAGATATTAGTTTGACTCTTTTTTTTTCTAGATTTTTTTTCTCCATAGGAAGAAAAAAGCCTGCATCAACATATCATGTAGAATATTGATATAAATATTTTTAAGAGAGATGACAAAATTCTGTTACAATGAAAGGATATTTCATAAATTAAAATGTTATTTCACAATAACACCTGACATTTTAGGCTTTGTACTTGCATTGGTATTATCCAGAGATTCCTCGGAGCAATATTTCAAAAGAGCCTTTTAACAAAAACTTTCTAGAGAGAAAATAGTTTGAGAAAAGTCGATCATATTATCATTCAGATTCGTTTTGCATAGAGATAGAAGTGCTATGAAAGGAAAAGAGAGGGCTAGTGCAATAGCTCAATTGACTAATCCTCTGCCTGCCAAGCGCCAGCATCCTCTATGTCCTAATCTCCCCACTTCCTATCCGGCTCTCTACTTGTGGCCTGTGAAAGCAGCATATTATGTCCCATTCACATGGCAAGATCTCAAAGAAGCTCCTGGCTTTAGATGGGCTGAACTCTGGCCAATGTGGCCTTTTGGAGAGCGAACCAGTGACTGAAGATCTTTCTCTGCCTCTCCTCTCTGTAAATTTATCTTTGTAATAAAAATAAATAAATCTAAAAAAAGCAAAATGAAACAAAAACCCCAAAACAAAAAACACATTGCAAAAGGAAGAGAAAGAGAGAGAAGTGAGAGTGTGTGTGTGTGTTGTGTGTGTAGGGTATTAGGTTCTTATTTAGTGCTGCTTTATTGAATGCTTCTCAAATTGAATTGACCAAAGAATTTTCTTTCCCTATAAGCTAAAGTTTCAGGAAATTGACTTTGGAATTATTGTTTTGCATCTGTGTAGTGAAGTACATGGAGATTCTGAAACATATATAGGACAAGATTATAATGTATACATATAAAAACAAAATTTTATTTTAGTATTTTCTTAATATTCTGAACTTTATCTGCCATGAATGAAAATCAACATCAGCTGGGGAAAAAGACGTTCGAAAAGAAAGCCAGACTGCACAAAATCAAATTGGAAATTCTGAGTTGCCAGGATCATTGGAAGATTCAGATAATGATTATTGTAGCATTAAAAAAAGGTAATTAGTACAGATGCTGACTCCACATGTTATACTCTGAACTGTAAGAAAAAGAATGGGGTATCCAAAATAGTTTATGAGGACTTTTAATCAGAACATATATATGAGTGAGTTTAATGATATTTTTAATTAAAGTTAATCTTGATTCTATATTTATTGTTAAATTCTTTCCAAAATTGATCAGTGATAACTTCTTGTATTTATTTATATTGTATTATTTTTGTCATCAGAAGCAACCTGACCAGAGAAAAATGTCTGTAATTATTTGTTTTTGTAAAAACAAATTAACCTCAAATTCTTGGTTATAGGAAAGCTAATCAGTATGCTTGCATTTCACATTGATATAATTTCATTCAAAATTATAGTATTGAGAATTTTGTAGTCTTGAAATTAAGATGAAATTTTAGTTGTGCATTCACAAAAATCTATAAACAAAACAGATTTTTTTCTGATTTCATATTAATTTATTTTTTTAATAATCTTACTTAGTTGATTAGGGTACAAAGCGTCAAGGGCTACAGGAAAGTGGGTAATACCATTGTTTCCACACTAATATCATTTTTTTCCAAAACAGATTTCTAAAACTTCCAGATATTTTACCTTGCCATAGAAATTAAACTTGTATGATAATGTTAATATGATTTTGTTAGTTGTACTAAATGTAGTTTCTGTTGATTATTACTTTGAATGTAAATATGGTAATGATCTCAGGCTTACTTAAAAGAATTATGTTTGTGTTTTAAGTCATTAGGTAAAATACATAAAATGTAAAAATAACATTTATGATTTTATGTTTTAATATTAATTTTAAATCTGTCACCCTTTTAAGTCAGTTTATTTGGAAAGATGAAGATGATGCAGCTCTCAGAAGACAGAACGATCAGGTATGATTTACAAATTTTTGTTCAAGTGTGGCATTGCTAAATATATAGAAATTAAAACTAAAATATCTAAGTTCCCTTGTGATATACTTTTAAAATCACTATTAGCAATGGTAGTTCAATTTTCATTTCTGCTTTTTAAAAAAAGGTTTATTTATTTTTATTGCTAAGTCAGATATACAAACAGGAGGTGAGACAGGAAGATCCTCTGTCCAATGATTCACTCCCCAAGTGACCTCAATGGCCATCCAAATGCTGCACCGACCCAAAGCCGGGAACCAGGAGCCAGGAACTTCCTCCAGATCTCCCACATGGGTGCAGGGTCCCAAGGCTTTGGGCCATCCTCAACTGCTTTCCCAGGCCATAAGCAGGGAGCTGGATGGGAAGAGGAGCTGCTGGGTTTAGAACCGGCGCCCATATGGGATCCCAGAACGTTGAAGGCGAGGATTTTCAGCTGCTACGCCACAGCACCAGGCCCAAATTTTCATTTCTACTTTTTTGATAATAGAGAAGATGCACAAATATGAAGGGGGAAATATTTTACATTAACACTTCCTGATCATCTCAAATTTAATAACTAGTTTTTTAAAAAAATTGACTGATCAATTGATTGATTTAGAAAGGCAGAAAAACGGAGACAGAGATCTATTCACTGGTTCACTCCCGAAGTGGCCACAACAGCGCCTATAAGGGGAACAGGTGCTGCAGGCAGAGACTTAATTTACTACACCACTGATAGTAGGAGTATAAGTTAGTATGCACATTATGGGAAACAGTGTGGCGATTCTTTAATACATAAAAGACAAAAATACTGACTCAATAACTCTATAACTGGGTACTTGTTTAAAGGCAAGGAAATTGGCCTGGGAAAGAGACATTGGCACCCCTTTATTCACTGCAGCACTTCTCACAATAGCCAACATACAGACTCAACTTAAGTATCAGTCAAAGGCTGGCACTCCGGCAGGTATCCCACAGGAGTCGCTGTTGCAGTCCAGGCTGCTCCATTTCTAATCCAGCTTGCTTCAAATCCACAGGGGAAAGCATTAGCCTTCCACTTGGGAGACTGGATAAAATATATGGCTCCTGGCTTTGGCCTGACTCTGGCTGTTGCAACCTCATCAGGGCAGTGAACCAGCAGATGGAAGATCTTTGTCTCCCTCTTTCTCTGTACTTCTGCCTTTCGAAAGAATAAATTTTAAAATGAGCAGTCTATAAAGTAAATTAAGAAAATTTTTTTTATCCAAAACAAAAAGTATCAAAATGTTTGACAATAAGATGCTGGATTGGGCCTGGCACTGTGGCCTAGCGGCTAAAAGTCCTGTCTTTGACCATGCTAGGATCCCATATGGTCACTGGCTCTAATCCCAGAAGCTCCACTTCCCATCCAGCTCCTTGCTTGTGGCCTGGAAAAGCAGTAAAGGACAGCCCAAATCCTAGGGACCCTGCACCCACGTGGGAGACCCAGAGGAAAGTTCCTGGATCCTGGCTTCGGATTGGCACAGCACTGGCTGTTGCAGTCACTTGGGTAGTGAATCATTTGTTGGAAGATCTTCCTCTCTGTGTCTCCTCTGTATATCTGACTTAGCAATAAAAATAAATAAATCTTAAAAAAAAAAGAAGGTGCTGGACTGTCTGCTGTTGTCTATATTGGCAATGTTAAGAAACACTTAAATATAATTATGAACTTATGCCTGCTTATGAAGGACTACACTACTGTAATACTAAGGGAGAAATCAGTTGGAGGGAGGGAATTTGGGGAGGGGGTAGGAGAAATCCAAGAGCCTATGGAATTGTATCATAAAATTAAGTTGAAACTATATGTGTATATATATATGTATATATATATATATGTATATTTAAAAATTATGCTTTGGCTTTGATACCAACCTGATTTTTTCTTTGTAAACTGATTTGTTTTTGCCTAAAGGTCAAAAGATTCCTTTTGACTATATTTATCATGTTGTATCTTTGCTAAGAGTTCTAAATCAGGGTTTTTGTTTTTTAATTTTTTTTTCCCCTATACATAGTGGGCCCTTCTCAGTATGAAAGAAAGGACTTATTTTTTCATTTTTTTCCTTACTTCTTTTCTTTAAAGATTTTTTTTTTTATTTGAAAGAGTAGCAAAGAGAGGGAGAAACAAATTGGCAGATGTTCTATCTGTTGGTTTACTCCTTAGCTGACTGCAACAGCCAGCGCTGGGTCAGTCCAAAGTGGGGAGCTTCATCCAAGTCTCCAATGTAGGTGGCAGAGACACAATATATAATGCCTAAATTATAGTGGAACAGTCTGTTTTCTACAGGCCACTAGGGACCTGGGTGGAAATGGAGCAACTGGGATATGAATCAACACCCATATGCTGGCCCAAGACTTTGTTTCAATAATGTTTTTAAAATTATAACTTTAAATATATCTTCTTACCTTTTGTCTTTCAAAAACCACAATTAGTCTTGTCTTAGCTATCTTTTAACCTTTTGTATTGTATTCTTCTTCGAAACATTTTATTATTTATGTTGCATTTACGTGGCCCCTATTGTTTCTCTTTATTAGTTTTCTTATAATTTTTGTCATATCTGTCCTATCTTAGATAGCTTCTAATTTACCTAAGTATGAGACAAATTATTTTTCTTAATTTCTTTCTTTTGTTTGGCCAGTTTACGCATCTTCTAGTTTCTCCTGTTTGTTAAAATAGCCAAGGCTAGAGTTGGGCAGATTGTCCAGTTACATCACAGCTGTTTTGCTTTTAGTTCTGAGTTGAGATTTGATTAAAAGTTGCTGTGTGGATGTTTATTTATAGAGATTATTTTTACTCCGTTATTTTTTCTTGTTGAGCGAAATAAGGAGTGTTTGGTGGCTTACTTTGTTTCTTAGAACTGGTGCACCCTCTTCTGTTGCTGTATGCAAAGACATTTTTTTCTTCCTTCTCTCCATCCCCCTTTCCTTGCTTCTGACCTTATTCCCTTGCCCAACTTACAGTGAAATGGAGAGTGTGGAGCAGGGGAAGCTAAAGCAATGAACATGGAATTGCTGATAGGCATTGTCAAATACAGTGATATGAAAAAAAAGCATGATTTTCATATTTTCTTACAGACAGGTGAAAAAGATTATATCAGCCCGCCAGATCTTATTAATTTTCCTTCACTTCCTTGTCAACCTGCTCTTTCTCCAGCAATAACTGATCCCTCTTTTTCACAGATTGAAAGTAAGTGTTGTGACCTCTAAGTACAGATGCTATGTTACTGGAAATGTAATTATTTTATGTGTACAGATTTTCGGTATGGGAAGATTGAAGTTCAGAAAATGGATGTTCTGAAAATGTTGGCTGTCAACAGTGTGAATTGTCTTCATATCATGGAATGTACACATGGAAATGGTTATGCTGCTAATATTTTCTATAGATAAGGGGCATTCAAACAGTTCGTGGAAAGTATAGATTATAAAATAGCTGTGCATGATTTTAAAAAATTCTTGGCATCAAGTGAACTTAACTCCATTTCCATGAACTTCTCTTTTATTATTTTAAAAGCTGATGTTAATTTTATAATGACCACCACTGCATGTGGACACTAAAAGTCTTTCATTTTAAAATATATTCTTGATATGCATTTTCCATGTAAGCTGTAAATAATATAACATTAGATCCAAAGTAACTGCCAAAATAATTAGGGGGAAAAAAGAAAGAACAGGTGAGTATAATTGCTTGAGTTTTTCCTAGTTTGTACACATATATAAATGCACAAGATGCACTATTTTATAAATTCCTTGTGTATTGCTCTTTAATGCTAAAATCACTCCTCTACATTTTCCATATAGGTAAACTCAGTAAGAAAAATAAGATTTTTGAGTAAACTTTATTTGCTCCTTTAGACATTTAAGTTTTATATTCCCTTTGACTATTAACCTTATTTAACTTTTAGATATTGATGAAAATGAATTATGATCTTTTTAGGAGAGAAGATTGTTGAACAAATGAAACAAGTAAAAGAAGAAAGAAGACATCTAGAAAGAATTAGAGAAGTACTATTAAAAAAAGTTGAAAAACTATTTGAACAGAACAAATTGAAACGATATCATGGTACAGTTAATTATATACCTCTGAATTTTTACAGAATTAATTTTGGAATAATTTACAATTAATATTTGGTATTTTATAGTTTAATTGGCACATGATTAACTATAACAGAAAATAGCCTGGCGATTGGGTGCAGGGGTCCAAACATCTGAGCCATTCTCTGCCATGTTCCCCGGGACATTAGCTAGCAGCTTCTGAGTTCTAAGTAGAGCAGCTTGGACTTGAACTGGCATTCCCATGGGATTTTGACATCACGGTGCCTCTACTGATTACACTGCAATGGTCCCAATTAACTAAAATCTCAAGCTAAAGTTCCATGCAGCTATATAATGTTTATCAGTTAGTGTTATAATATGAAATTTTCAAATTTGGTGTTTTCATTTCCATGATATTCTAAAAGAAACCTAAGTATTATGTTTGCATATAGCTTGTGTCCGTTTTACATTTTTACTTAGAAGTTCTTGGTGTCAAAGTAATTTCCTAAACTTGTTGTGTTTAATTTCTGCTGTCGACCAAGAATTCCAGGATTGAGAAACTCTGCCATATAGAAATAGGAGGAAATATTTGAAGTAAATTTGATTCATAATGAATCAGAATCAGATATCACAAAACATTACTCATTATGGGGGCTGAAAAAATGGGGAAAATGATCTTTTAAAGTGCATCTTTTCCTTTCACAGTTTTAATTAAATGGTTATTTCTTAGAAGATTATGCCAAAAATAAAAATATATGCCCATTTAGGTATAGCTAATTTGGTTTTTGTGTTTTAGTTTGTTTTTGAGAAAGAGACAGAGGAGGTGATTCCATCTGCTGGCTCACTCCCCAAATACCTGCAAGGTTGGACCCAAGCCAGGAGCCGGAAACACAATACAGGTCTTTTGTGGGTGGTAAAAACCCAGTTGCTTGAGCCACCAGCCAGTGCCTCCCAAAAGCTACATTAGCAAGAAGCTGGAATCAGGACCTAGACCTAGTGTCGACCCAGGCGCAGCTGTGTCAGACACAGGCATCCTAACTGGCATTTCATGATCCCACCTCAGTGCTGTGTTGTTGTCGTTGTTACTTTCTGTTTTTTAGTATGAAAGGCAGAGTTAGAGAAATGAGAGACAGAAAGATCTTAGATTCCTCTGCTTTGCTCCCAAAAGGCCAGAGATGAACCAAACCAAAACCAGGAGCCAAGAACTTCCTTCAGGTTTCCCACAGTGGTGCAGGGCTTCAGGGATTTGAACCACTTTCCACTTCTTTCCCAGGTCACAAGCAGGAAGCTTGATTGAAAATGGAGTAGCCAGGAGATGAACCAGTGCCCACATGGGATGCCTGTGCTACAGGCAGAGGCTTAACCCACCATGTCATGGAACCAGCGCCCGCAGTACTTTTTTTTTATAACATTTTTCAGAATCAGTCACATGCTTAAAGGAAAATATGCTTGTGATTTATGAATGTATTACCATTTGACTACATTTCTAGGCAATTTCTTTTTCTGCCTAACAAATCTTTCTCCCTTAGCTCTACTGTCCTTGGTGTATAAGGGAGGGAGAAGAGGAGAGGGGGAAGAAAATGAGTTAAATATACATTAATTCCTCATAAACTGAAAATTTCAATTTTTAAACCATGTTAAACCCAGCCTTTAATTTTTTTGGTAGCCTGTGATAGTTGGAAGAAAAAATACCTTGAGACTAAGAAAGTTACAGCATCATTGGAGGAGGTCTTAACAAAACTTCGAGAAGATTTGGAACTTTATTATAAAAAATTGCTGATGCAACTTGAAGCCAGGGAGATCAAGATGAGACCAAAAAATCTGGCAAACATCTCAGACTCTAAGGTATTAACAAATGTGTCCCTGTAGTATTAGAAAAGTTCTACTCAAAATGAGCGTTTTACATCTGTCAGAATTGAATTTGGAGGCTTTAGACGAGAGATTACAGAAGTTTGAGTTAAATTTCCTTAAAATTCACGACCTCATGTGATGGAAGGATGGCTGCTGAGCAAATCCAGTCAGCAATAATGTTCTTAAGAATATAAGTAGTTCTAATGTCACCTCATTACTTATAGTGTGGTTTTCACTAGAAGACTCACCTGACCTTTTTTTTTAAAGGATTTATTTTTATTTGAAAGATGATTAAAAAAGAGAGAGAGAAGAGACAACAGTCTTCCATCTAGTGGTTCCACCCCAAATGGCCACAACAACCAGACTTGGACAGGTCCCAAGCCTGGAGCCAGAGCTGGAAGACTCCTTTTTATGATAGTAGCAACAGAGTTGCCAAAGGCAAACAGGGTTATGTATCTCCAAAACAAGATGGGGAGATAGTCTTTGAATTCAGACTCTGTGGTCTCCCGGGACCAACCAGGTCCACCCTGTTGTCAGTAGTATCTGCTAAAGAATGCTAGGTACCAGCGGATTTAGGCTAGATAGGCTCTACCTTTATAGGTTCAGATGCAGTCACATTTCCTGATTATGGGAAGGAGATGAATGCCTAATTACGTAGGGCAGGAGGCCAGCAGTGACCACTAGTTATTGATGGTGTAAGAAAAATGTAAACTTTTGGTTAGTTCACTTTTTCTTAAGATAATCTTGACTCTTAAGTCAGAGACATGAAGTTTCATATTGAGTAACTATACCATATAATTAAATGACAAAAAAGTTGCAAAGATCATTTAATAACTTGATTTTTGTAGAATTGATCTCATGCAAAATGATATTTAAAATAAGCAACTTATGATTAAACAAAAATGTAACTTAAGGCATGATGAAATGTTAAAATTTAATATTAGTTAATATAAAATAAATATAGTCTTAAGTAATGGGTTTTCAATACTAATCATTTTTTTTAAAATACAGCTGATACTTTATCCTTTTATCAGGTTCAGTATAAGAATATAAAGATAGTTTAATGATTTGTCTTTAATATTTGTTGCAACTTCATAATTTATGTTTGTAAAGCAGTATATGTTGTTATAAGTATATAAAATATTAAACTGAGTACACCTTTATATATCTCACACAGAATTACCTTATAATCCAAATCACAGAGGTACAGCATGCAATTGACCAACTTAAGAGAAAATTGGATACGGACAAAATGAAACTCATAATAGAAGTTAAGGTAATTTTAATTTATCCTTATCAAGATCGTCTTGAAATAAAACATTTCAGTGTTTCCTAGATATCTGTTCAGTTATTAAGTGCTAGAAGGTGGTTTTTTTTTATGTTGGGTTTTGGTTTTTGTTTGCATAATTACATATTGAGAATAATATTTTGAAGCTCAAAAAAATTTGTATTGTCTATTTTTTAAAAGGATTCAATTATATTATTCTATAAGAAAAGGACATTTCAAAGTTTGTGGAAATTGGAATTGAATCTGTGCATGCAAGGAGCCTTCAAAAAGTTCATAAAAATGTCAGTTATGAAAAATAGGATGCATGGATTCCAACATGTCTAAATATATTTTAATTTCATTGCTCCACAAACTTTTTGAAGTAGCGTTATTCTAATAAAAGAAATCTCATAACATGTATCATAGATAAGATGTTATTTAAGCAGTATTTATAACCTACATATTTACCAAAGTAATGGAGTCATGGAAGGCAAATGAAAGAAGACAGATAAAATAATCATATTTTCATAACAATTATGATATACTTTAAAAAAGGTAAGATGATGCTCATTTTTGGAAGATAATTGTTTTTATAGATGAGAAAACAAGCAGTTTCGGATTTACGAACACTGAAAGCTGAACTGGCACAGAAAAAAATTAATCCATCTTTACAGTCTCAATTAGGTACGTAAATTCAAAATTTTACTTGTTAAAGATGTAAATCTGTTCTTGGAAATATTCTATATAAATCATAAGATTTATTTTTTTCACTTTAATAGATTATGAAGTATTTTTGGAAATATTGATTGTAACATGTAGTAGAATGATTGCATCTATTTCTGAAGATTGCAACTCTATTACCTCTTATTCTACAATACTGTGTTTTATAATTATTTTTATTTTAAAAAATTTTAATTTATTCATTTAAAAGGCAGAGAGACAGAGATCTCCCAATTGCTGTTATTTCACAAATGCCTGCAACAACCTGGGTTGGGCCAAGCTGAAACCAGGAACCAGGGGTTCAATCTGAGTCTCTCATGTAGGTGGCAGGGGCTCAAGTATTTGATCCATTCCTTGCTGCCTCCCAGGGCGTGCATTAGCGGGAGGCTGGGATCTTGAGTAGAGTCAAGACTAGAACCCAGGTGGCCCATGGGATGCAGGCTTCCCAAGTGACAAGTGCTGCACCAAACCCCTATCCTTACTTCTTACTTTTAATCTTACAATTTAAGAAGAAATATGAACGTAAACTCTAAATTACAAAGAAAATTACATTTTAACAATTACTAATAACATTTGCATGAAAACAGATTTGTTCATTTTATCTTAATTTAAAGCAATTTGGATATGATAGAATAGGATATTAGCTTATATCCAATCAAAGAGATTAGTATCTGTGAATTTATTTATTTTAGTCATATAAAAATGCATAAAACATTTAGATATAAAATGATTATTTTAGAACTATGAGATGATTCAGTGTGTACTATGTAATTAGTTCATTTTACTGTCATAAACAATTACAAAAATAGGAAATGTAATTTTATAATAGATGTTTGAATCATCATTTTAGTTGGGGTAAAGGAAAATGCTTACAGAAGGCAAGATTTATGTAAATCTAGAGTTCAAAGATGCACATTTTAAATATTTATGTTTGCAGGAACTAACATAAGTGCAAAACAGTGTTGTCCTAAATTGCCTTGAAAAAGAGAACAGAGACTTCATCACATGTAGAAAAATTCTTCACATAAAATTAATCTTTAGAAAGGGAAGACTAATCAGTGTTTTTAGACAGTCAAAAATAAAATTCAGATATGGAAAGAGAAAATTATCTAATACATTATAGATGTCTGTAAATGAAGGGATATGAATAATTAGAAACATAATTATATTTAATAAAATGAAGCTTTACACCAAGTTATTCCTATTGTAAAAAAGTTTATAATAAAAATGTATTCATCTAAGTAATCTAGTTAGAAAACATAAGGCATCTCTTACTAAAAATGTTACTGAATTTTTTCTATCTTTTTGTGAGTACATTTAATCTGTTGAATCCCTTTCCTCCCCTTGTTCACTGTTTGGATGTTTAAATGAATCCATTCTAAGTACCTCAGAGAACATCAATACGTTCCATATAGTCAGCAAGCATAAAATTTGTTTTTATCAATTTGTTAAAGAGAGGACACTATATTCTGTTTTAAATTTAAGATCTCTAGAAAAATTAAGCACAGCCTAAACTGCTTTCCAAATGCTAGTTTAAAAAACTGTTCTAAGAAAACCTTTTCCACTTGAAATTATACATATTTTTTAAATCAGCATTGGTTTATAAATTCATATTTTAATACACATGGGGAAATTAGCATAACACTTTGAAAGGATTTTTTGCTAAAGACAGTATAATATTGAAACATAAAGCAATATTTGACAAAGTAAGCCGATTTGTGTCTTGCCTTTTAGTTCTGAATGCCAAAGATAGAAATTTGCATTTTTCAGTTCAAACAATTTTAGTCTTTATCTACATTTTTTTAGTATACTAGTAAGTAAAATATATGGCAACATAACAAAAATGAATACTTTTTTATCTCTTCAAGAAACTATATACAAATCATTTTTCTAAATCTTAATAGTTTGACACAACATGTTCATCTCTGTCTGAGTTTTGGCTTTAGGGCTTTCCACATTTCCTCAGTTTGCTGTTTGGCTACAGCATCGCCAGAGTAGTCAAGACAGTTTGCATTCCACATGCCAATACCCCGCAAGCCATAGTGTGTTACATATTCTGCCTTCAAAGAAATGCTCTGAGGGTTATCATACCACACTTGATGGAAATGGCCGGCATGATCCTGTAAAAATAAATTAAAATGTAAATTTGAAGTATTCAGAGTAAGAGGGAAAAAAACTCTCAAATCCATAAATTAGAATACTATGCAATGAAATAATGGCACTTTTTTGAACTTAACAATTTCCCACTCTATTTGTCGGTGGCTCCATATATGTTGCTTTCTAGATGCTATTGCTTAGTATTAAAGACTAAAAACTGAGTGTCCTAAAATCTGCCATTTAACGTCCTTCTCATGTCTTCACTTTTCTATCTGCTTTTTCTGGCTCAATGGTTATCAACCAAGCTTTGGAATATAGATATCTGATACTCAACAGCATCTCAAACCTTATTGAGTCAAAATCCTCCAGGTTTGATGCTATGACATTTAGAGTTCATTGATTAGATATTTTAATGTTCCATTAGGTAACTCTGTTAGGTGGCCAAAGTTAACAAGAGTCACTGCTCTAAAGCCACTGATCTAATATACATTTTTGTATTCCCTGCAGTTCCTGGAAATGTGCATAGCTAGATCAACAGATGATTTTGTTTGTGATGAATCAGTCAAATCAAAAGGTAAAAGCAACAGAGGAGGGGAATGCCTCCTTTTGTAAGTCTTACAGAATTGATCCTAAGAGCCTGTTAAGTCTGAACTCCATAAGTGACTGTACACATTCCTGATTAAGAACTGTAAATTAGATTCTAGACATGCTCATCTTCCACTCTGTACAGTGTCCTTCAGTGAAAGTGGTGCCCCTACCCTGAACACTCAGTGTCTCTTAGGGAGCATCTAAGCTACTGTATGAGTGATAAAGGAAAAATGAGGGAAACAGATCTAGTCAAAGGGCAAAGGAAAGTGCAAAGCTAAGAGGTAAAAATAGACCTATAACTAAAAATAAGTTGCTGATTTTATATACATCTGAAAAAAAGAATTAAAGGCAATTAACAGTGAATGCCAGTGATAACTTATACCAGTACTCTTCAAGAATTAGAATAATCTCCTAAAACGATTTCTTTAAAGGACAGTGGTCATTATTTAAGTATATAGACATATTCCATATAAACATATCTCATCCTTCATGTTGTGCTGTATTTTTCAACATTTCTTAGAACCAGACAAAGCAAAGCATGCTCTGTTATCACTTGTGACTCACATTTTAAAGGCAGCCAGAAAAACCTGTACCATAGTATAAAAGAGTCTTGAAGTTTTAGGGCAAAATAAAAAATGTACTCATATGCCTTTGATTTTGCTATCATTCTAGCTAATACCTTGAGTCTTTTCAAATCGTTACGAAATTCAGTGTACTCAAGAATCAAAGGGTTAAAATGGAGTACATGTAGATTGACTCAAGCATGGTTCAGGCACATATGCCTTCCAGAATATTGAGGCCAAGATGAAGCTGCTATTCCCAAAACCATGTAGAAAGGCAAAATCTATGCTAATAATTATATAGTTTGGATTTTCAAGTTCAGGAAGTTCTACACTAGGTATTCCTATCTAACTAACCTAACTAATCGGGCAAGTACATGTATATCAATTATAATTGTTCATATATTAACATGTGATCATTTTCATTTCACATCCTTTTTAATCTAACATAATCTAAAATAAATGCAAAGATTATTTGTACTTAGGGGCAGGTGTTTGGCCTAGCAACATACCCCACATTCTGTATTGGACTGCTTGGATTTAAGTACGATTCTATTCCCAACACCACCTTCCTGCTAACTGCACACCCTGCAGATAGCAAATAACAGAGTCCTTGCTACCACATAGGGGAGCTAAGTTAAACACCTCCCAGCCTCGACCAAACCAAGTGCCAGCCAGGCATTTGGGAATGATGAGATGAGAGCTCAATGGATGAGAGCTCTCTCTGCCTTTCCAATTCAAAACGAAAAGCTTATTTGTCGATTTTTGAGAAATAAAAAAATTATTATAAAAGGTGAATTATAAAAAGCATAAATTTCCTTTCTCTTTTTGGCATATTAGTTTCTGTTTATTAAATACTACCTGACTGAACTTTCTTTTCATCATTTACCGTATTTCTTCAGGGCTTTATGGTAATAATACTCTCTCTGGTCTTTTTTTGAAAGTCTTATTTATGTATTTGAAAGGCACAGTTAGAGAGACAGACGGAGATTTTCCATTTCCTGGTTTATACTCCAAATGTCCACAACAGCCACACTGAAGCTAGAACCTGGGGCTTCATCCAGGTCCTGCGTGTGGGCTCAGGGGCTCAGTGGCCGTCTTCTTTTGCTTTCCCAGGTGGTGTAGAATGGAGCGGGATGGGGAGATAGAGCAACGGGAATTTCAACCAGCTCCTATGAGATGCCAGTCTTGCAAATGGCAATTTAACCTGACAAGTTTAGTTATGTCTATTTGTTCCATCTTGAAATAAAACTGACAGAAATTCTTAATCATCAAATATTTATAAAAATAAATAAATATTTATAAAAATAAATTATGAAGACTAATAGAATTTCATAATGTAGAAAATCTTACTTTATAGTTATAAAAGGGAGCTTGCTGAACTTTATCCCATTGACTTCCAGAAATAGAATGAAGTAATTGCTTCATGATCACTCCGTAGCACACCTGGCGTCCTGCAGCATCACTGCAGGGGGCTCCCCGGAAAGGGACTTTTGCAATGGTACAAACATTCTCCTAGAAGTGCAGAAATGTTGTTCCAGATTATCAGTTCATTGAATCTTAGGCAGCAAATCAGAAATGTAATCCAAAACTTGTAGTAACAAATAGACTAGAAAACTTGACTTTATAGAATAAAAGTTAAATTGCATTATTTACTGAAATTATATCATATTCATGAGCTGCCATTGGATCAAATAATTTAAAATAAGCAAGTTTTGGTCTCAAAGCATGTTTCAGATTCTAAAGTTTATATTTTACAATGGAACAAAATAAGTTATTAAGTATCTGTTCAAGAAAAAAAAATGACAAGCAAATGACTATTCTTACCTTAGATAGATTCAGGCAGGTATAATCATAGCCATACCAGGGAACGCCCATTACAAGTTTCTTAGGGTTAATGCCCATCCTTGTGTAGTCGCTATACCCTAGTCAAGTAGGTATAGAAAGAGCATATTTATTTCTCTTCAAAACATAGCAAATAGTCTTTTCTCCGGTAGACTGAAGGATACAAACCATGCCATGGATAGGGTAATGCTGGAGCAAAACATGGCAAGTCAAAAGGATTCTTAATTATAATAGGAAAATAATGTTTAATATAGGTACTGATATTAAATGAGGTAAAATCAGTCCTATTGATCAAGTATAAGAAGTACCCATATCAAAACTTTTTTTCAATTAAATTGTTTAACTGGTTATTTCAACCTTGTCAAGTTATAGATAAGCAAATATTTTCTTCATGTGATTTCATGATAAAAATTGGGCTTAAAAGTTAGAATACCAGGTTTGGGTCTCAACTATTTACTATTTGTTATTCAACTATAAGCTCTTTTCGATAACAGAGGGTTAAAGCTAATAGAGTAAAGTGAAAACTTTAAAATACTTTGTAAACATTAAAATTCTCCAAATTAAGTGTTTTTACATGTTTCAAGTAACTTTTAAAATGGAAGGAGTGTACAAATAACTTAGACAAAATATCTGGGTATTTGAGTGTTGGAGTTAATATTGCTAATAAACAATCTGTTTTTGACTTCTTACCAGCTAATGTCTGATTAAGGGGAGCGTTGGCCGCTGCGATACATTCTGACCAGATCTGACTTTGTTCATCGTATGACATCACAAAGAGAAAGTCACAAGCATCTGCAATTCCAGTATAGTTATAACACCTTCTGTCTATGCTCTTTGGAGACCAAGCTACATCAAAGGTTACCTGTGGAAAAAACACATAGTGTTTTATATACATCCTCAAATATGCACGTAAAGTTAGACATTTTATTCTACATTCTCTTGCCTCATGCTACCCAAGGAAAAAGAACTATTTACACTATATAAATGTAGGGTTTGACGTATCAGAACTATGTTTCTTAACTGTACTCAACTGGCCAACATACATTTGGACATACAGTGACCAGGAACAGGACACTACAAAGAGGGGCTTGAAACTCAAATGTTTTCAATTAGCTGATGACTCAACTAATTGAAAGAAGCCTGTTCAGTGACAATAGGAGGTGGGAAGCAACTGGAGAGTAAATGCTTCCTAAAAGAATTAAAATACAGAAGTTAGTAAAGACAGTGTGCAGGCAAATAGGTCACCTGATGGCACAACCTGACTGGGTTTGAGTTTAAGCTTCTGATTCACAGCATTAATTGGTAGCTTTGGCCCAATCTTACATTACAGGGGTTACAGCTCACAGGTGTAATCAACTCAAAATAGTAAAGAAATCATTTAAATGATCATTTATGGTAATATTCAAATAAAATTTGAGTGATTATCTTTTACTTTGAATCAAGACTGTTATGTTTATTGCTTTAGCTAAATATTAACTAACTTTATATATGTACACAAATATTCTAAAACTTCATTAGAGATTTTCTCCGTAACTAGACAATAGATACCTACTACTTATTACAGAAGTCGATGGAACCAAAGACCAACATTGTGGTATAGTTGGCTAACTTACTGCCACCTGCAACACTGGTATCCCATGTGGGTGCCAGTTCTTGTCCTGGCAGCCTCACTTGAGTTCTAGCTCTCTGCTAATGCATCTGGGACAGCAATGAAAGCTGACCCAAGCACTTGGCCCCTAGCCCCATGTGGGAGACCCGGTTGAAGCCCCTGGCTTTGTCTGACTCACCCATGGCTGTTGGAAAGTGTAGCCACTTGGAAAGTGAACTAATAGATGTAAGCTATCTCTATCTCTCACTCTCATGCTCTCTGTTACTGCCTTTTAATTTTAAATTTTTTTAAATGTTGAGATCCTGTAGATTAAGTTTTTACACTCTGACCAATTTATCCTACCAAAACTCTTTTTAAGATTTTTCTTAATTGCTTTTCAAATTTTCTAGTAGCACTAAAAGAAATTTGGCTTTACAAGTATCAGATTTCAAACAAAATAAGTTATGAAGTAAAACTGGACTACTCCCTATATCAAAATGGGGGCTACATTATAAGATTAGAGAAAATAAATAACTCTAAGAAAGGAAATTTCAAATCCATTTTGAAAGTCCTTATTTTTTGCTTCCATGTTATGAGAGCTGTTACCTGAATTTCCTGCCAAAGTTCACCTCATATATCTTTTTTAAAAAAAGTGCATAGTGCACTAAAATAATCAAAAGTAGTGGATTTTAGCTTTGGCTGTGTTACAACCAGGCCTGTATCACTAAGTCACTTAGAGCTTCTGACTGTTTTCTCACAAAACTGAGAAAGTAAAGCTCTGCAAACTCCTTAGTCCTGTGAGCTCAAATGCAAAAACTTAAATCATCAGCTTGTCCTCAAATTTCATTTCCTCTTCTGAACTCCTTGTATTTGGTCTTTTCAATTGTTTATTCTTTTCAGGTCATGTTTAAGAATCTTTTGGCTCTTCTCTGACACTTTTCTCACGCTCCAAATGCAGTCTGACATTTTACTTTGCGTAACTTCCCACAGTTAGTTCAGCTTCCTCATTGGCAACAATTAATTAACGCAAACATTTTTCACACCTGCTGAGTGTTAGGTCTTGTCACCATCCCAATCCAAGCTGTTAATCTCTTACTGATACACTGCTTCTTATGAACCTTCCTTTCTCCTCTAGTTTTACTTACTTTTACAAAATAATATCCCTAACTAACTGCTCTGCACATGTAACCCATTACAGCAGAACAACATGCACACTCCCCTTACCCTACATACTAGATCTTCTTTCTTTATAGATTTTATTTTTAAATTTTTATTGTATAGTTAGATATACAGAGAAGAGAGACAGAGAGGAAGATCTTCCACCCGATGTTTCACTCCCCAAGTGAGCGCAATGGCCAAAGCTGAGCCAATCCAAAGCCAAGAGCCTGGAGCCTCTTCTGGGTCTCCCAAGTGGGTGCAGGGTTCCAAGGTTTTGGGCCATCCTCAACTGCTTTCCCAGGCTGCAAGCAAGGAGCTGGATGGGAAGCAGGGCTGCTGGGATTTGATCCGGTGCCCATATGGGATCCTGGTTCGAGCAAGGTGAGGACTTCGTTCACTAGGCTACCGCACCAGGCCCTACGCTAGGTCTTCTACAATGTGGCCTGCCTTTGCATCTCACTTTAATTTACTTAACATGAGCATGATACAGTAGCCCAAATCATTTTACTCACCTTTCAAACATAGAAATAGATGATTTACATGAAGGCTTTGCTCAATTTTTATCCTTACTTTTTCATTAAATCTTAATAAGGACCGATAAGTAGTTATTCCCCACAACCAATTCTAAGCTATTAGTAACACCTAGCTAGAGAATAAAGCAACAATTCAGAAACCAAAATTTGTGAGGAGGACCAGTTGTTTTGGCCTGCATGCCAGATACATGGTATTCCACCACATTGTACTCATCTGAAAAGTTGAATTCCCTATCGATAAACTTCATTACTGGCAATAAACAATACATGTCAGCCCTCACATCAGTTATTATTTTACCAACGATTCTCAAGTGCATGATGATTGGCTGTACAAAATTACCTAGAGTACTTGGAATGCAGCTCCCTAAGCTATATCCCAGACCTACTGAATCAGTCTGGGAAGATTTCAAGGCGCCTTTCCCAGCTGATACTGAGGTTCTGCTTTATAAGCACAGTCAGACCTCCATATCCATAGAACATGCATCCTGTGATTAAAAAAAAAAATTTAATTGGCTCTTTATTGTTTCAATTTGTAGTTTGTTTGGTTTCAAACCCAATTATTTTTGCTGTGAATTTTACCTTTTCATACCGCCTGTTCATTTTTTTTCTTTTATAATAAGTCCTTGAGATTCATTAATAGTTCATTTGTATGAGATATTTCAGTTCTTTGCAAGCACTGATGTTGTAAATGTCCCTTTTGACACTGCTTTTGCTACATTTCATGGGCATTGATATTTTTGTTTTTATTATCATTTCTTCAAAAAAATTTTTTCTTTTATTGATTTCTTCAGTGCAACATGGTTCATGCAGTAGCATGGTTTTCTACAAGAAGGTTTTTGATTTACTTTTTCATCAGTTTACCAATGGATTGGTCATTCTATAGCATGTGGTTTAACTTCATGTTACTGTAAATTTTCCGTTTTTCTCCCTGTTTTGGACTGTGTTTTCTGGCTCTGTGTTTAAGGGGATAGAAGTGCAGCGAAGACTGACTTGTTCAGATGTGGAGACACAGTACAGTATGCATTTCTGCATCCAGACCAAAGATGACCTTCCGGTGAAACTGTTGAATATATCCTGGCAGTAGGATGCTGGACTCTGCCATTGTCCATGCCTACAGTGACAGGAAACACTTCAACAGCAGAATGATGGACTTATGACTGTTCATGTACCCATCGAAATACTAGAGGGGAAATCAGTGGGGCAGGCGGGAACTCGGGGAGGAGGAGAGGGAAAATCTTAAAGAAAAAAAAAAAGCTGTCTATGCTGAACATGTACAAGCTGTTTTCTTGTCATTTTCCTCCAAGTAGTACAGAGCAGCAGCTATTTACATAACATTTATACTGTGTTAGAAGTAATCTGTGTAGAAGGAGGTAGATAGGTTACATGCAAATACTATGACTTTTTGAGCATCCACAGATTTTTTTATCTACAGGTTATTTTGGAGCCAATCTCCTATAGATACCAAGAGACAATCACCCATAGATAGCAAGATACGAGTCTGTGGGTGTATCCTACTTGACTCATTTGAAAAATTTCTAAAGACAAAGATCATTCGTTTATTCAATAAACAATTTTTAAATATTGTGTTAAGCATCAAAACGCTGGTCACTTGCCTTCAGAAAACTTACATTGTCTAGCCTAATAATTCCTAACCATAATCAATGTTGAAACTTCCAAAATTATGGAATTTGGGATAACCCAAGACCTCTGAATACTAGTTGCTCAGAGGCAGGTGTTGTGTTTGCTTGGGACCCCCATGTGCCAGGTCAGTGTGCGTAGGTTCAAGGTGTTTATCTACCTCCAATCAATTGTCCTGCAATTGATTGGGAAGCAGCAGGTGATGGATGAAATAATTGGGCCTTTACTACCCATGCAGGACACTATGTGAAGTTCCAGATCTTGGGTTTGGCTGGGCCTAACACTAACTGTTGTGTACATTTGGGAAATGGACCAGCAGATAAACAGTGTGCTTTTAATTTAACCAATTGAAATAAGTAAGTAAAAGTTTTTAAAAACTTGAAGGAAGCACCCCATGTATATGTGTGCCTGTGTTTCTGTGGGTGCACTTGTGCACATATTCACTCTTTTTTTTAAGACCCTTTGTTATCCTACCACCTGGTCAGGTGTGATAATCTGATCTGAAGTCACCCCATTCTTTGGTACCTACACATCTACTCACGAGATGCCTGTGCTGTGATCTGTGCCAGTCACGCTCATTATGGCAGTGGGAAAACACATTGCCTGTTGTTTCCTCTAGTTTACTGCTTTGATTCCTGTTGGGCCTTGGGTCCTCTGCAAGAAATTTAGACTTAGAGCAAAAGAGACCCTTCTGCATAATTGCTTATACTTTGTCAACAGCGGCTTGGCCTTGCGTCAGTGAAAGCTCTCCCTAATTCTTGCCGCCCCCATGGATTGTCCAATGTTTGTAACCCTGCTACAAGGCAAGTAGATGGGGAAATCCAAAGATGGTGCTTTCATGTGACTAGAGAACAGATTTAGGATCTTTAAATTCCATAAAGAACATAAAAAGCATAGAGATCATTTCTATAGGAAGTATGTGCTGACATGCTTTCCTATTCCATTACAACATGAAGATTGCATTAGTGTGTGTGCAGATGCACGTGCAGAACCACTTCCCCTTTTTCAAGTAAGCACAATTTGGTAGGGAAATTCCAAAAGCAAACTTTTACCTGTGATCCCTCAATTTCCCGATGGAAGGCGTCCGTGGTTTCCCTGACTAGAGCAGTTAAGGCGTCATATTCTGGAGATGAACAAGCAACTTCTTGCTCTATGTCTATATTAATTCCATCCATATACTGTGTCTTAGCCAAGTCCACTTTTTGAGCTATCCAAGCTGCTCTGAATTTTGGGTCAATTATCTCCTTTAATGACACATCTCCTATGGAAGAAGGATACATTTTTTGTAAACACATGCTTTTCAGATTAATGACATCTATTTCACAAACACATTTCCAAAGAGCTCAAACTATCTTTAAAACATTTCAGTGTTTTAGAATTCCAAGCCCTTAGTTGAAGTTTTGGAAAAAAAAATAATAAATCAAATTAATAAACCATTATTCGTTAATTTCTACAATAATCATAAATACTAAAATTCTAAAATTACAAGCAGAAATTGTGAAGTATGAGTAAAGGTTATCATGCTAATTAAACATTTTGCTACAATTAACACACTGGTTTATTATTTTTTTAAAAATCTGCATTTATAAATGAATTTGACAAGTTTTTATTAATTTAGGATTAAACAAAAGATTAAAAGGAAATATCTTGTAAAGTCATGGCTACAGCAAATGATACAGATAAACTCATCAGTCAGTTGGGTGATTAAAACATACCTTTTAGCACTACCCTGGCTCCTTTTGAATGAGCATAGCACATAAGTTCTGAGTCATATTTTCCAAAAACTGCCACAGTTGTAATCTGTGTCCAATCATAATGTTTCCAAGTTTTATGGCCAATATCAAACACAAAGACCTGCCAAGGACAATAACAATAAGCACCATCACTTCTATCAAGAACATCATGCTGATCATTCATGGTATTCACAAGTTTGGACAATGACTGTATAGAGGCAGTATGACATAGGGCTCCCAATATAATTGGTGACAGGGTAGGCAACTAGCCAGGCCTACAAAGTAGGGTAGGATAGGTCAGGAAGAAACAGTGGCAAGTGGCAAGGCCTGAAGGCTGAAAACATAGTGTGGCTGAACCCTGGAAACATCAGGGTGAAGAAACAGTAGGCAGGGGCAGCCTTGGCAGCCTGCTGAGAACTTAGTACTTTATTCTGAACAAATGGGAGAGCAGAGAAGCAATTTTAATAAGACTAGGGAAGGCGTATGTTTGATCTAGTAGTTATGCTATTGCTTAAGACTCCCACATCTGGTATCAAGCTGGAAATGAATCCTGCTTGGTGCTCTGCCTTCCTGCTAATGTATACATGGAAAACAGCAGTGATTGTGCAAGCAGCTGGATTCATCCTGGCCCGGGATCAACTGTTGTGAGCATTTGGGGAGTGATCCAATGTATGGGAGTGTTTCTTTTTCTTTTTCTTTCTCCCACCCCTGACATTCAAGTAAGTTACAGTAGATTTGTTTTAAGAGGAGAAAGGTTTCAGATGGAAAAAATTAATGTGCCTTTAAAAGGAGAAAGTCCCCATTAGCTGAAGTAGGCAATGAACTAAAGAGAGGCCCAAAGTGGAGGTAGAACAGTAAAACTGTTAGAGCATTCGAAGGAGGAGGTGGCGGTAAAACTGATTCTTAGCAGAGTAATCATATTCTAAGGCAGCTAATTTTATGTTTCTCCAGTATTTTTTTTTCTCACAGAGAATTCTAGAAACCCATCTCAATAATCATTTTATTCTTTAAAGATTTATTTGTTTCAGGAAAGTGGGTAAAACTATTATTTCCATATTGTTTCCTTCATGTTTAAAGGGGGGTATTGAGGGAGAAGGCCCACCCAATTTCCTACCCTCCCCAGGTCCCTCATGTAGGGTATGCTCTGAGGTTCTTGCTCAAGTCGTTTTGATAGTTCACCAGTTATAAACTGCTGCCAATCTTGCCACTCCAAGCACTATGAGGTCTTTGAAAAATCCACTGATTGACATAGTCCATCATAGAGTCTCCATTTGCCCCATATTTCGCTGCCAACATATAGCTGATATGGTTGATTGACCTGTTCTGTCTTTTCTCTTTTCTTGGTTAGGGTTCTGAGTCCAGCATTTCGATTGGGGAGATCTCCAAAGAATCTTTGTCTGAGGTGTTCTCAGACCAGATTCTTGAAATGTGCTAGCAAGTACAGGGCCCAGCACAGTCCATCGCCCTGATCAGCTGGTGGTTGCAATCGCTGGGTTGGTTCTGTTTTCAGCTCCAACTTCCTCTGGAACCCCCCTGTCCTGGTTTCTGTGCCCTCCCGTCGAAGTGGTAACCCAAGAGGGAGGAGTCCACTATTTCCCTACTGGCCTCTCCCACTCCCGGATTATTCACTCTCCAGGTAGTTCTGTGGTTTGACTTGACAGAACTAGCCCCCAGTGCCAGCTTCTGCCGACTGATGCTGTGGCTAAGCCCAACCAACCCTCACCCACTCTAATTTTGTTTGCACCAGTAGGAATAATCAGCCCAGCCTGGCTTTTCCCTCATCTAGTCCACATGAGGTGTACAGGTGTTGTAGCCCTGCTTAGTCTGGTCTGCCCCCATCCCAGCTAATGCATTCCAGCGGGAGTAGCTGTCCAGCAAAGGAACCACCCCTTATTGCCCTGCCGGCTCTGCCCCCTCCCAGCCTGGTTTTCACACATGCTGGTTGGGCGCTGCGGTCACATCCAGTAGAGGCAACCTCACCTTGGCATTCCGTATTTTGCACTAGTTTTTGTTGCGACCGAACCTGGCTCGACCCACACTATTCTGGTGCTTGGATTTGCCAGTGGATGACGTGGACAGATTCAGGCTGGTCTTTCCCCGATCCATGCCAGATGTATGCCAGTGGGTAACTTTCCATGGCTTGTTCTGGGCTGTTTCCTTCCATGCTACTTGCACTTACCTGCAGGGACTGTGTCCTGCCAGAGGAGTTGCCCAGGCTCCTCCATCAGAACCTCTCCTAATGCCAGATTTTGCACATACCAGGGAGTCCATGAGCCAGCCCTACTCAGTTCACCTCCTGTCCTAGCAGGAACAGTGGCTTTTCCTAACTGGCCTTCAACCCAAACTGGTCCTTGCTGTTGGATGCTTCAGCCCAGGCATGGTTTGTCCATATGCACATATGGCTCACACATGGCTCAGTAGGGGTTGAGACTTAGCCTAGTACACCGCACATCTACCCTGGTCCTCCAGGACACCAGGGGGTGATGCAGTCTGGCCCAGGCTCGGTGTATCCAATCCCAGTCCACTTTGTGCCAAGGGAGACTACAACTGCTTCCCGTTCAGAACACAGCCCCCATTCCAGGCCACGCGCCCCTTGGTGGGAACCTCACCCAGCCAGGGTTGTCCCCTTAGCTCCCCAACCGGGCCGGTTCCCAGCCATACATCACGCGCATGCCAGTGGTTGCTCTGACTCAGCTTGGCTCAACCCCTCTTCTGTCCCGGCCTCTGCCTTAGACCCTGTGGCTTACCCACTTTCCTATAGCATTTGAACATTTTACCCTAATTAACTATGTAAAGATTGTCAAAAATATAATAAAAATAATAATAAAAAAGAAATTAACACAATACATCAAATAGATTGTAGAAAATCAGATCAAATAAGGTGTCATGGATTTGTTAAGACTATCAAGATAATCAATAGATCTTGGAGTTTATAGATAAGTAAGGATATGATTGTATGACTTCCTTCAGGCCATTTAGTTGTCAGGTTGCTCTCTTGAAATTAAAGAATTAAGCTTAAAAAAAATATTTGTTTTTTATTGGTAAGGGAGGTTTACACATAGAAGGAGAGACAGAAAGATCCTCCATCCACTGGTTTACTTCCCAAACATCACAATTACCTAAGTTGAACAGATCTGAAGTCAGGAGCCAGGAGCTTCTTTTGGGTCTCCCACTCACGTGCAGGTTCCCAAGGCCTTTAGCCTTCCACTGCTTCCCTGGGCCACAAGCAGGGAGTTGGATAACAAGTGGAGCAGCCAGGACATGAATTGGTGCTCAAAAAGCATGCTGGTGCTTACAAGCAGAGGATTAGTCAATTGAGCTATCACCCCAGCCACTGATCATTTTAATTTTATCCCAATATCTCAATTCATTAACAAATATTCACTGTATTTGAATAAGGTATAAGGAAGTTACTTTGATAGGTTCTCAGATCTTAGAGGTTAACAAGAGAGGGCTAGTCCACTGGGGATTTAATTCTTGAATTTCAGCAGTATTTAGGACTGTGGGAAGTGTGGGAGGCCATGACAGCATACAAAGGAGACCTGCCAGCCAGGTGGAGCAGTAAAACTTCCCTGAGGACCACATGCTTCAATGAGATGTGAAATCTGTGGAATGAAGGATGAAGGTTACTTATGGACAAAAGTGAGCCTTCTCAACAGAAGGAACAAAAAGCCCAAAGATCTCTCATACCTCAGGAGAACTTGAGCTGAAAGCCCAGTGTGGTTAAAGCACAGAAATCTTGAAAGTCTGAGTCTGTGGAACTGGAAAAAACTAGGAGGGAAATGTGATAAGAAGGGCAGGAGTTTGTATTTCACTCCAATGAGAAACCATTAGTTTTTCAGCCAGCAGGGTACATTGCAAAGAAGAAATCACTGGGCCACTGTGAAGAGAATGGACAGGGAGAGGACACTAGCTATAAAAGGTTCATATACTCACTGGCTTTATTTTTAAAAATAACCTTTCTCAGTGTTATATACGTTTTCCAGCTAAGCAACCAATCATTGAAATAAAAATTACAGAATGCAAAATTGAATGACAAATTGTTTTTAGACTCATATTTCTATCAGCACTACACCCCTATTTTAAGTGATATTTGCCATTGTTTGTTTTTAAAAACTTCAGACAGGGGCTGGTACTATGGCATAGCAAGTGAGGCTATTGCCTGTGGTGCCAGCATTCCATATGGGCATCCATTCAAATTCCAGCTATTTCACTTCCAATCAAGCTCCTTGACAATATTTGATAAAGCAGCAGAGGATGCCCAAGTGCTTGGGTCCCTATATCCAAGTGGGAGATCTGGCAGAAGCTCTTGGCTCCTGGCTTCAGAATGACCCAGCTCCAACTGCTGCAGCCATTTGGGGAATGAACTGGAACACTGTCTCCTACTGTAATTCTCCCTTTGAGAGCCTATGAGATAACAAATTATTTAAGAGGAAAAATAAAGCCCAATTACAATAACTAATTGAAAAGAGAAGTAGGAAAAGGATAGTCCAGTTAAAAAATTATGAACATATATATAAGCATTATTCTGTTTCTTTGTGTAATTGGTTTTCAAAATGCCTACCACACTGCCTTACAAAGTACTGGCTACTACAACAAATCTGAGTGAACATTTAGACATTTTAATTGAGAGGCTGTGAAACAACTCAGGTCTTGCATTTCTACTTGGGCAAAATGCAGCACAGTGTGAACAATGAAACAAACCAAAGAGGAACCAATGAGAACCTCCAGCCAACTTCCACGTAGGGACTTTCCACCAAATCATACCCCAACAAGGAAGGTCTAGTTCACTCAAGTGAACTTCTCTGATGGTCTTATGCTGCCTGCTTGTGGATGATCTTTTGCTAAATTTCATTTATCTAAAGTCTTTAACAAGCTGTAAGGATTCCGTGCTAGGCAGGTTCTTCAGACTGTCACCACTGTTGTTCTAAGCTACACACACACACACACACACACACACACACACACACACATTTTTAACTTTTTAAAGGCAGATTTTACAGAGAAAAGGAGACATAGAGACTGTCTTCCATCTCTTGGTTCACTCCCCAAGTGGCTGCAATGGCTGGAGTTGAGCCTATTTGAAGCTAGGAGCCTGGAGCCTCTTCTGGGTTTCCCATGTGACTGCAAGGCCCAAGGCTTTGAGCCGTTCTCTACTGCTTTCCCAGGCCACAAGCAGGGAGCTGGATGGGAAGTGGAACATGGAGCAGCCAGGACATGAACAGGTGCCCATAAGGGATCCTGGTGCATGCAAGGTAAGGAAGAATTTTGCCATTAGGCAAAAATAGGGACATACATGTCCCTGCCTCAAAATTAACCTATTGAATTAAGAGCTAGGAGCTTTTGCTATCTCTCCTGAAGAAATGTTCTTTGTACCATTAGGTAGGAAGGTAGACATTAGCCTCATGTGGGAGGGACCTCTGGAGGGATGTAGCAGCCTCCAGCCGCCCAGAACACACCTTGCAAGCAGCCCAGCATTTCGCAGAGGAAGTTCACACCCAGCAAACCCTTTTTCCAGACGAGTGTGGGAGCAAGGGGGATGGATGGCAAGAAGCGGGCCCAGTTTTCTTCCAAGCTCCCGTCTAAAATGCAGGTAGCACACTCAGATCTTCCCTGTGATGCCTGGTCGGCCGATTGTGCTGCTCTCTGCTCCCAGTCCTTTGTCGAGATGTCTAGCTGGCCCAGCCAGGTGTGCTGTTTCCACTATTCTGTGCTCCCCTCAGTCTGAAGGGGCATTCTTCGATTCCAGGTGGAGAGGTGCCCATCCGTTCTGACCGATGCCCTGGTTCCCATTTCACCTCGCTCCCTGCCTCATCCATGCTGTTTATCGCCAAGACAAGAACCTCCGTTTTAGCCCCGTAAGCTTTCACCCTCCCTGACATTACTTTCCATTGCAGTGGACAAAGCTCTATATCAGCAGATGACTGCCAAACTACCTCTGAACAGATGTTCCACGAACATCTGCCAACAGCCTGGTACAATTCAACGCCTTTTTTTTTTTAAGGCGGGGGGGGGGGGGCTGTAAAGGAGCGCAGATTCTCTTCCAGGCGAGGTAAGGCGAGGAGCCTGGCTTGGGACACCGGGAATGCCGCCAGAGGGGCGGAGCAAGGCGGTGATCTGGGCCGCCTGGGGAGCCTGATCCCTGCTTTAAATATGTAAGAGGCCCTGGAGGAGGACCATGGTCGCTCGCAGCCCGAGTTTCCGAAATCGGAGTAAACCCGTGCCTGAGTGAAGACGGTTTGGGCCCCAGGACCTACTGACTTCTCCCAGGACCTCGAGAGCCAGTGCAGGGATTGGGGAAAGGCGCTGACCTCGAAGTCGGGGCGGTGGCGGATCGGGAGGCAGTGCGCGGGCTGCTGGCACGGGCAGAGGTCCCCGGCGGCCGACAGCGCCAGCAGCGGCAGCAGCAGCAGGCGCAGCAGCGGCAGCCGGGGTCCGGCTGGCGGGCGGGCGAGCAGCAGCAGGCGCGGACGTCGGAGCTGCAGCCCTGCCATGCCTGCAGATCACAGGGCGAATGAAGACTGCTCTTCCTGCCGGCGCAGGCTGGACCTGCCCTGGGCCGCTCGAGGTGGGGCGGGGCGGGGCGAGGCGGGCGTGGGAGGCGCAGGCCTCGCCCCGATCGCAGTGGGTCCGGGCAGGGGGCGGTCGGGTCGCCCGGAGTTGAGCAGGGGTCAGCGCGTCGGTTGTGGACTCCGACGGAAATCAGCTGTCCGGTGGGGGACGAACCAAGGGCTGAGCACTCTGGCTCCCCCTGGTGGTTTTGTGTGCTCATTGCGGCGTCTAACGAGATCGTGTCCTGAAAAAGGAGACCCAGGTTGGGGAGAGTTTAGCTTGTCCATTTTTGAGTTACGATGACTGATACAGCATCTAATTTCACTCCCCCCTTGCTATTGATCTGTTTATCTGAAAGATAAATCATCAATGAGGGCTCTTCCATGCAATAATTCAAATTCCAAGTGTCCCTAAGAGCCAGGACAGGACCAAGCAGAACCTTTTGGGGTGTCAGAGATATGTACTCCCTTGTGCCAGTGCTCACAGCCAAAATTAATAACAGCAGAAAAAAAGCAAATTCAGTCAAGGGAATAGATTCAGAGGAAATCCATACATCGCTGGGGTCTTCAAAATATTCATGAAAAAATGCACACACTGCATGGACTTCAGAACCATTTGCATCGCTGCCAGCTCCTTTTTTGCTTCTTGGGAAGCATTAACTGCAAGAGAGGTTTACAAATGTCCTAAAATAATGTCCTCTTGTTAGGTTATCTGATACCACTGCTTCAGCTGAGGCAGTCTGTGTCCAGATGCGCACAGTGGGGAAGGTGTGGCTGCAATGCTCCTGGGTTGCCACGTTGTCTCCAGAATTCCCACTTTGAGATGTTTCACAGATTCTTTTTTTTTTTTTAATTGTTGAAAGTATTGGTGTGTACAAGTGCCCCCTTCCCTAAGTATCCTGGGAGGGAACATGCTTCGAGAGGCTGCACATTAACACACCCAGAGACACCTAACAACCATCCAGGACAAATATTCAACAATCAGCATCAGCAACAGGTCATTAAAAACACTTAGGAATCAGTAAGAAGATAAATGTCACAAAAGAAAAAATTGTAAACAGGTGTAAAAAATTGCAAAAAGTGACTCAAAAAAGGATGGGTAGAACAAATGGGGAAAAAATCAACCTCAAAGACATACAAAGATGGGGTAGCATTTCTTTGCGTTCTATTCAGACCAATAAAAATAATGGCAAAATAAAATGTTAATAAGACTCATTGCAGCTGGATGAACTAGCATCCACATTTATTTTTGGTAAGAATATAAATTGCTATAATTTTTTTAGAAATCACTATTTCAGTTAGAAGTTCATGCTTTTTGACCTCCCTCCTCTATTTTTATCTAAATATCTATTGTCAGTTGGTGATTGCAGAAAGACAGACACGTGCTTGGAATGCTCATTCGACATTGGTTAGAATTGCAGTTTAGCAGCAAGTTCAAAGGCCATCAGTTGGTAATTTAGTCGAGAGAATTGCCTGCTAATTTTTTCCTACAATAAGCTTAAATAATTTTTGTAAAGCAATGCAATTGTTTTCTAAGAAGTAAAACACATTTACACCAAAATAAACTTTTCATTTAATTTTTCACAAACATCTTGAAGTGCCCTCATATGTGCTTGTTTTTCAAAATGCATCCATTTGTTCTTTTGATGCTCAGCATCTCAGAACAAGGTTGAAGAAGCCATGACTCTCTGTTAAGTACTTGTAACTACTGGATACAACTTTGTCTCTTTTCCTTTAGACATGAACAAAACAAAATACTCTACCTTACTTTGAACTACTTATTAAAGTACAAAATCCCCTTGGGGTCATTGTGGTGTCATAACAGGTTAAGTTGCTGCCTGTAACAGAGACATCCTAAATGGGAGGTAGTTAGTATCCTTGGCTGTTTTACTTCCAATCCAGCTCCCTGGTAATGGTCTGGGAAAAACAGTAGAAGATGGACCAAATTCTTTAACCCCTGCACCCTGGTGGCAGACCTTGGAAGACACTGCTGGCTCCTGGCTTTGGTCTGGTCCAGTGCTGGCCATTGTAGCCATCTGGAGAGTGAACCAGCAGGTAGAAGGCTTGTCTCTGCATCTTGCCCTCTCTTGAATAGCTGTTACTTTCAAATACATAAATCTTTGAGAGAAGTAAAAATAATGAAACCCTTCCAAGGATGCATACAGTGCTGTCTAGAGCTTGCAATTAGAGATGCTTGACACATTGTATTTTTAAATTTTCTGTAGTTTCTGTACAAGCAAGGGATAAAAAGTTGAAAAGAACTTGCTCTGAAATCTATAAGTAGTGTAGTTATCAGTCATCATCTAAAACGTGCAATCAGATTATGAAATGCCATTTATTTATTCAGATTTCTTCATATGGTCTGGTGTAAGCATCTCATTTCCTTTTTCTCCCTTAATCCATTCAACATCTCCATGTTTTGTGACTTAAGCCTTAAACAGAATCATCTGCAAAGCTTCTTGAACTCTAGTCCTGGGCTCCTGGGCTCACCCCCGGATTGACTGGATCTGTCCAGGCCTGGGAATGTGAATTTGAAATATGAGCCATTGGTGACTCTGATGCTGATGGATATCTATGGCATGTAACTCTCTTTTTTAAAGGGTTATTCATTATTGTCTAAGTCAGAATTACACAAGGAGAGGGACAGAGAGAGAAAGGAAGAGATCTTCCTTCCACTGGCTCACTTCCCAGATTGTTGCAAATAGCCCTGGCTGGGCAAAGCCAAAATCAGGTGCCAGGAGCTTCTACCATATCTCCCATTTGGACCATCTTCAATTGCTTTCCGGGGTGCATTAGTAGGGAGCTGGATCAGAAAAGGAGCAACCGGGACTTGAACTGGAGCCACTGTGGATACTGGCGCCACAGGCAGTGACTTGGCTTGCTACACCACAACAAAGTGATCCCTTGGTGCATCAGTTCAAGGCTACTACTATATTTTTTTTTTTTATAACTAGTGCAACAGTTGTGTTTTTTTCTGTTTTTGTTTTATTTTGTTTGAAATTTCATCTTTTTTCAAAAGCCTTTCCCCCATTAAGTTATACTAGTATTTCTAAACAATTTAGGAGCTCACAGAAAGATCTATACAGTTATAAGCTCTGTCTCCTAAAAAGTACATATAAATAGTCATGTAGTTTATCTATGGGCTGCTGGATTCCTAATCTTATATGAACACATTAAAGTGTCATTCAGTGACACCATTCATTTATAATCCAATTCTCCAAAGCTTACTAAACTTTGCTCCTTCCCATTCTCAACAGTTAGCAACTTGTCTCCTTATATTGCTAATTCTACATATGAAAGTTTCACATTTTGGGGCCAATGCTGTGGCTCAAAAGGCTAATCCTCCTCCTGTAGTGCCAGCATCCCATGTAGGAGATGGTTGGAGTCTCAGCTACTCCACTTCCCATTCAACTCCTTTCTTATGGCCTAGGAAGACAGTAGAGGATGACTCAAATTTTTGGACCCTTCCCCATATGGGAGAGCCAGATGAAGCTCCTGCATGCTGGCTTTAGATTGGCTCAACTCTGGCTGTTGGACCATTTGAGCAATGAGCTAATGGATCGAATGTCTCTCCTTCTTTATCTCTCTCTTCATAGCTATGACTTTCCAAGTAAGGTAAATAAATCTTTAAAATTTTAAAAACAAAAAAGTATCATATTTTCCTGAAATGAAAACCAGGAATTGAAAAAGGTAATGACATTTAATGAAACTTGATAAAAGTGACACAAACCTTAAAGCTCTAGGTAATTAAAAATTGCCAAAAATCTTTTTGTTTTTCTTTCATGTTATTTCAGGGTCTTTTTGCCTTGTTCCACATTTTACAGTTTAGCTTCAGTGGAATTTGACAAGATGACTCTAAAATGTATAGAAACAAATATAAGAATAACCATGATATTGAAGAACAAACCCAGAAAACTTCTTTTACATCTGAAATGGATTAAGTGGTTAATTTCACTCCCTCTTGGTGCTAGGCTAGACAAACTGACAAATGGAACAAAGGAAGCACTGCAGAGTAGCAGGCAACATTGGACAACTGGATATCAGTGTGGGGAAAAGAAACGTGGCCTCTACCTCACACTGTATACCAACAGCAACTCCAGGTGATTTGTAGCTATAAATGTATACACAAAATCATGGAGTTATTTAAAAGCAATGTAGGTGAATATTTTCATGACCCCTGCAGAAAGAATAATTCGTTAATGGAACACAAAAGGTATTAACTACAAAGGGGAAAACCAACCCAATTGGCTACTTAATATTTAAGAACTTCTGTTTATCATAAAAGTAAGAGCAAAAGCTTCAACACATAATGGAAGAAGATAGTTGCAAAATATTACCAGCCATGTGCTTGTGGGGAGAACCTATAAGGAATCCACACCAATACAAAGAAAAAGAAACAGGAAACCACAACAGGCATAGTATAAAAGAGGATATCCAAACGTCAATAAACAGGGGTAAGACGTTAAGACTTCTTGGTCACCAGAGAAATACAGATCACAACTGTAACGAGATACTACTATATACTCAGTGGGATGGTTAAAATTAAGACTGATAATAGGCCATTGATACACTGCGGCAGCGCCTAGGTAGTCTTGGGCAGCCTGGGAACTTGGGCTGGAGGCCAGCAAAGCATAGCAGGCCTGAGAACTCCCACATGAGTTTGGGTCCTGGGTTTGGGTAGGGGTAGTGATGTTAGGGCCCCAAGTTGGCATGCTGGCATGATGAGCTGGCAGATAGGGCTTGGAGACTTCTTAACATGCTTGAGTCCTGGCTGGGTGGAGGAGTGGGGTCTCAGGTTAGCACGTGTGCTGGGGGACTTGCTCTGGGATCTTAGGTGGGCGGGCAGGGCTCCAGGCCAGTAGGCCATGTCTCCAAAATACAATGCTGGGGAACTCGTGTGCTCATGGGTGCAGGGGCTATGGATTGTTCAGGGAAGGGGGTATAGGGTATGTGCTAGGGGGAACTGCTGAGAGAGTATGTTACAAGTAAGAAGTGACTTTTGGGGGACTTCTG